CTGCTTCCTCCTATCAGTCCTCCGGAAGCGCCTTCAGTCATGGCCGTCCCCGCCCGCGCGCGCAGCAAGCGCCCGCGACCCGCCGCCTTCTCGCTTCGCCCCCACGTCACCATACCCTACCTCCCGCCGTCCTCCGACGCGGTCACCGAAGTCCACCCACTCTCCGCCGCCGCCAACTCCGACCCTGAGAGCTTCGGCGAGTCATGCCCCCCGCCTCCTCCGCCGAAGAAGAAAAACAGCCAGAAGACTCCGGCCGCCACTGCCGACGGGGACGAGTCGGGCTCGCCTCCGCCAGTGAGGAAGTGCATGCACTGCGAGATACAGAAGACCCCTCAGTGGAGGGCCGGCCCCATGGGGCCCAAGACTCTCTGCAACGCCTGCGGTGTCCGGTACAAGTCCGGGCGGCTTTTCCCGGAGTACCGCCCCGCCGCCAGCCCCACCTTCCTCCCATCAATCCACTCCAATTCCCACAAGAAGGTGGTGGAGATGCGTATCAAGGCGAGCCAGAAGGTCGCCCCCGCCGGCGCCGCCATGTCTTCCTCCTCCGACGGCTGTGATCTCCTCGAGTACATCCGTCGGCGGGAGTGAAACGAAGACGACATACTTAGCTGCTGCAGTTCTTCTTTCCCCTTGATTTAGAAGTGTAGTCATCCCGGTTTCTGATTTCTCTTGCTTTATTATTATTATTATTATTATTTTTAGTATTATTCCTGTATTCCCCTTAAATTTTGTACAGAGGAGGGAAGCGAAAGAGAAGACGCTTTTAGAGGAGGGATAGGCAGAGCACCACAGGTAGGAGGTAGCCGAGAAAACCAAGACAGAGGAGGAAGAGAGACAACTAGCTATTATAGTTAGCAGCGAGGAGAAGGGGAGGGGAGATTAGAAGGGGCTACCGAAGGGGAACACTAGTTTGATCGCTGGAGCTTGGTGTATTAAATTCTTTTTGCAGTTGAAGATTGATTGATGGTGATTACTAGGAAGATTTATAAATATATATAAATATATTTGATTTACATCGACAATTTTCTCTTGTCATTTCACCATGCCGTGTAGAGAGCAATTTAAAGTCAACGAGTGTGTTGACTTTTCAGCCCTGAGCAGCAGTAATTTGTGACACGTATAACTTGACCCATGCAGTTGCTGTTTTACCCCCCCCATTGTTGTTGCACCCATGGGATTAGGCAGCACATGTGAATGGACAGAGAAAGGTGAGGTGACGGCACAACTGTCGGTTGGGTCCCACCCTCAATGACCGAAGGATTTGTATGTAAAAAACTGGGGATCTTCTCTAATGGTAATTTTCTATCGGAGTCCTCCAAAACTTGCATCTCAATCGTAGTTATCCACTGTTAATGAGACCGAACTATGATTTGATGGGTTCACCCACCACTTCATGATGCAATTTGGTGCTTGCAATAATATTTGATGAGTAATAGTTGGCTATGATTTTGACAAGGATCGAAGCGATCATTATTGCATTCATTCATTCAGTGTTCCCCTGCTGCCAATTCAGCGTGGCAGCAACTTCTGCATCGCCATGTCTTTCCTGCTTCCCGTGTATACTTTGTTTGTAACCAACCCTATTTAACTACTTTCATCTTAAGATAATTATGTTTACATGTAATTAGTTTTGTATGTTTCTTCGTATTCTTTCCCATATCTCAATACATACCCTCATTTAAGTACAATAAGTTTAAGTAGCTGATGACCTTTAGTAAATACTTTGTTTGTAACCCTATTTAACTACTTTCATCTTAAGATAATTATGTTTACATGTAATTAGTTTTGTATGCATCTTCCTATTCTTTCCCATATCTCAATACATACCCTCATTTCAGTACAGTAAGCTTAAGTAGCTGATGATTTTTGGTAAATTTCATTGATTATTTAACTTATACGAAAATGAATTAAGTATTTCAAATTTAATTTGATATGTTATCCATCAAGTGTTCAAACTTGTTAAGATTTCTTTGGTTGTTTGAATTAGGGCTCAACCTCATGGTAAATTTTGACAGGAACCATATGTTAGGGATAGAAGATTATGACATTGTTAATCGATGCTTAGACTATTGACATAAACATCGATAAAGACACATACTATCACATTATCTTATACATATTATTTTTCACTCAAAAGATCATTTAAGTGTGAAGGATTGGAGGATCACATATAAGTACAATCCTTTTTCAAATAATAATAACAAGGTATTACTAATCCTTTATTAAACTAAATAGAAGAAGAAAAAATTAAGATGAAAAAGAAAAACTTTATTAAACTTTTAATCAATTAAAAAATACTGAGAAATTGAGAAATCATCTTGGATAGTATTTACCAAATTATTCTCCAAATACTGAAGTCGATTTATATTCTTTTTGTTGAGCAATGCATCAAGAGTGATCCAAATATCTGAAATTGATTTACAATGAATAATGTATTCTAAGAGATCATGAGAAATAGATCTATTTAATACAAACTCAGTCTTTGCATTTGAAGGTCTCCATCTCTTCATGACGTCTCCATCTGTAACATCTGGTGGTGTTGTTGCATTGTCACTAACTGCATCCTATAGATCTTCCCCTATGAGATAAGACTCCAACAAGTTTTCTAATTAGTCTAATTGAGAAGGTCAATCCTAAATCCACCAACTTGACTATAATATTCCATAGTAAAAAAAAAAATCTTCTTCATCAAGGAGATCTTAAAAACATATATTATCACCCTTGTGAGTCTGATACAATGTGAAGAAAGGAAGAATCATACGCAAGTGCAACTCTTTTTCAAATAACAGTAATAAAGTATTACTATCCCAAGATCAAACTAAATAGGAGAAGAAGAAACTAGAATAGAAAAGAAAAATATTATTGAACTTCTCAAAAATAAAAACATTTACGGATCTCGAATAACTCTTAGACTTGACTTAAATACCTAATACTTGAATTAATCTATATGGAGATGCTACCTATTTATAGATAAGAGTACATAATCTTTACAACTCTATCTAATCTTATTTGAAGTCTTATAAGATATATTTTAAACTAAGAATTTTTTATCCTTAAAATTTTATCTAATCTCATTTAAAGTATAAAATATTAATTTATGATCTTCCAAAATATACTCCAAACTTCTTAACACAAAGATGTAAACAACAAAAGAGATTACTCAATTTTGCCATTAAACCTTGTCAATCAAATTGGAAGATCCCCCGTAGCACCAACTATTCATCATCACATTTGGGAGGATCCAAGTATACAAAGTTGGAAGTTGACTTGCAAACTAACGATGGAGTCCTGCTTTCATTTGCCACTAACATCTTTTAATTTTCATGCAAACACACAAACATCTTGTAATTTTTGCATGATGACATCATCAACCCCATTACGATATCTATGACGACCGAGAACAACGTACCATAACTCAACTATTATCAAACAGTGTGTAAATTAATGCTTTAGTATGGTGGCCTCCTTTTTATACATTGAATCCAATCGAAGCAATCCGTGATCCAACCACCATTATTTAGATTATGACATTAGTGCTTCCTCAACGTAAACCTTTGACAAATACAAAATGAACAATTGGAGTATACTAAAGAGTAAAAGGTCAACGCTAATAAACTAACCATCAAATTTTCTTACTTGAGACACAAAATCTGTCTTAATCAAGTCATGCAAATCTTCTTCTCTGAGAAAAAAAAATTCACCTTAATCATCCAGAATCAATCTTACCACAAATCTAAGTGCTTGTGATGAGAAACGAAAGCAATCATTTGATCTACGTTATTACTCATTAGTTGTTGTTGTTGCTCTTACCATGACTGTCAAAATCAAATTATGCTTCTCAACAAATTCAAAAAAATATATGATAACTAGGAAAAGAAAATGTAATTTCCATCAATGGATTGACAATATGTAGTGATCTTGAACCACTCCAAATACTATATCATGCAATCTACAATAATCATTGATATAATTATTTTAATAGTGTTTGATTATGACACTAACTCGGTAAAACTTAGGCTCTATGGGGCTAAGATATTAGTCCAATGTGATGTTAGCTTACTTCTCTCTCTCTATACAGCATTCTACCTCCTGTCTTTTTTATCCTTAGTCCTTTGAGTTAGTTATGTACTTATGTGATCCAATCTATTGTTTTAATGGAGGAAGAGAAAGGAAAGCATTAGGATAGAAGAATCTCTCTCTCTCTCTCTCTCTCTCTCTCGCTCTCTCTCTCTCTCTTCTTTTTCCATCTGACTATTTCTCTTCCTAGTTTCTATCTCACTCTATTCTCTTCAATCTATTTTTTTGTCTCAGGTTTAATGTTCAATATGAATCAAGTCTCAAATTGTATAGCAGATAAGGTTCCTTGGCATCCAAGTGGACAAGAAGATGGAAAGAGCAGTTCAAATGCAAGAGGAGATGCTGCGGGAAGTAATCATTCAGAAAAGAGGTCAACTAAAGGGAGAAAAAATTGCATTTGTATTATGATTTGACTGACATTGGGAAAGGAGGTCGCACGGTTGACTGCTCTACTGGAAACAGACCAGGAGCAGGATTAACATAAATCTTAGACATACATATTGGTTACTACATGTGACTTCATTGAGTTCAATGGAAGTCCACTGTAACTTTAGTCAATAAGGTGGTTCCTGTGACATCCACTACTGGCAACGAAACTGGTTATTCTAACTCAATCTTTTAATCTCTGCTGTTGTTGACTAGAATGCGGATGTCTAAGGGTAAGACAAAGTGGAAAGAGATTTTTCCTCCTTGTGCTCTGTTTGGAGCTCATACTGAACCATAGAGGTTGCTAAGATAAGGAGCTGTCTCAGAGCACAAAATGGTGAATGTTATGTATCATGGAAGGTGCCAGGGGATCATAGAGCAACAAGAACTAAAGAATGCAGTTTTCAATTATTTCTGTTAACAGATGAAAAGGTTTCTGCTTAGCATCCATTATAACATAGGGATAGGCTGCTTGGAAGATTCCTAGACAGTGACAGTAACGAAAACTAGCCACTTTCATTTGAGGTCTTCCAACAAGAACTTGAAGGAAAACGAAATAGCCCCATGCAGTAACCGGAGCTGAAGACCACAAGGCTAATTGCCATCGTTTTACGATGGCTGATAAGCTTTTATTTTTGCGGTTTATACAATTAGATCCCCTCGTAAACAAACCAAAAAATTGTAATAACAAGTAGATCGAATAGCTTTAGAATGCCTAAACAAATTTATGGTTCAGAACTTTGTGCAGTTCCTGGGCAAACCAGTGCTATGATCGACCGCCACGTTCTCCAACTCGTTGCAGCTGATCACATCCTGCCTAAGCTTTGCACCCGCAGCTTTCAAACCTTTCAAAGAGACCGCCTGGTTGAACAGGTTGAGCGCCGGGAGCCTAGAAGCCGGAGGCATCTTCCCCGAAGGCAGGAGCTTGGTGAAGTCATCCCTCATCAATGGCACCTCGAAGTCTTCTTTTTTATGCTTCACCACATTGTCTTTGGCGCTGATATGCGCACCGGGCTCCATGTGGTTGGTGGAGAAGCTTGCTTGGTTGGGGAAGTTGGGGTATAGACTGACGTACCCTCTCAGGTACATCATGTCGATGAGGAACTTCTTCCATGAGGCCTGCCACCCGTTGGTTCTCGACTTTGGGATTTGCACCGGGTTCTGCTTGGCGTCCTCGGTGAATCTGGCGTTCATGTAGGCGTAGAACTCTCGCCACTGCCTGGGGAAGAACACGGCACCCCAGCTGCAGGGGAGCTGATGGAGGTACGGTGTGTTGGGATGGATGTTCTTGAAGAACTCGGTGGCGTTCCATTTTGGCCTTTCCTTCACCACCTCGACAAGACGAGGCGTGTACAGAGAGATGGACGAGAGCTCCGGGAGGGAGACTTGGGGGTCATAGTGGTAGGCTAAGAGTGCATATTTGATCCAGAGGTAGTAGTAGGGGGAGACCTCGATGTCGTCTTCTAGGAGGAGGCCGAACTCGTCATCGGACGAGGGGTACCAGCTCTCGCTCACTGCTCGGATCAGCCCGCCCTGGATGATTCGACGCCGGATGAACTTTGGCCCTTGTGCCCATTGGAAGGATCCCACAACCTTGAGGGTCTCCTCATCAACCTTGCTGTCCATGTTGAAGCTGAGACGCACCTCATCACCAAGATAATATGCATTCTGCAGTGATCTGAGGAGTCTCTGTAGAGAGGCGGCACGGTTTTGGGTGACGATGTTCACCGTGATCTGCATCCGATTCCAATCTGCAAGGCACAAGAACTCAATGATACTTAATCCTGCCATGGATGTAAGAGACTTGCTAACTTAGTTGTTTCTCTGGAGATAAAAAGTGATCTTGGAGGGAGAAGGATGAAGAAGCTTCTTACTCGGTAGTGCTGTCGGTCGTAGATCAGCCATCCACAGAACCTTTGGCACAGTAGTCCTCTGTAGAAGAACCAGAGCTGTACCGTTTGCGCTGCCTTCGGCCGCCATTTTCAGCGCGTTCTTCACATTTTGATCGACATCATCGACTGCGATCAGCAAACTCGGGTTGTGGATCTTGAGAATCCCCTTCAAGCTCGAGTACACTGCCTGTACTACTGGAACCTCCGAGTTGGACACCCCTGAAATGGCTCCGACTTCCAGATCGAAGATCTTGAACCTCCTCTCCTTGCAGACATTCTTTGGCCACCTGAGAACACTAACGGCTGCTTCGCAGGAGCAGAACCTTCCACCCGACACGACGATATAGGCTTTCTTCCCTACGGTCGTGCGGAACTTCTCGAGCAGAGGAGCCAAGGTTTTCACTTCTCCGAGGGAGTGGGCATAGAAGAGAGCATCAATTTTCTGAGGGTGCATGGCAGCCCATTGGGTGACATAACCGGTGGACAAGGCACGCCACCACTGGTCGTCCCGGACTTGGACAACGTCCTTGAAGATGACGGTGGTCTCGGAAACGTATGCAAGTCGGTGCTCACTGTCTCCCCATGTCTCCTTGTCATTTGGATCCACAGGTAGCACATATGATCCTGCATTCCTGTACTTTTGGAGCTGGTAACTGCGCAAAGGTACATATTATGAGAAAGCACTCATTAGAATTAGGATAGAGAATGCACTGTGTCCATATGTGATAAGCACAAGTCCTCACCTGAGATGCAAGTCTTCACCGGTCATAAAAGTGAACGGTGTCTCCACAAACAATGTCTTGACGAGATCTGCAGATAGAAACCATGAACTCGACAAGAAATCAACCTGCACAATGCTTTCCACGGTGATATCATAAGCAGGATCGGGTAAGTACAGGCCTGCTTCCTTCGACCGGAACTTCCTGTAACTTGGAAACGTGAAGTCCTTTTGCCTAAAGGGCAAGATCCTTCCGATGCTACCCAGAACTGAGTTCTTGTACTTCTCTGTCCCTCCGACATGGGACAGTATCTCCAGCATCTTCTTCCCAGGAATCATGTCATCGTCAACAATGTACACGAAGTCTGCTTCCGTCTGCAGGGCCATCTGAAATCGTCCGTAGTACTTGAAATCATAGCTCGAACCGATGAAGCTGATCCTGGAATTGTTGTAGCTCTCCACAATCCTTTTCAGCGAGAGCTCGTTTGGGCTGCCAAAGGAGAGTACCCAGACATGGTGAAACGGCAGTGTCTGGTTCAGCAACGAATCAAGCTGCGCGCAGAGCGTCTTCCTCTTGAAATGGTTCAGGATCACGGTGATCTTTGGGACGTTAGGGCCACTGGGGCTCCACTTGGACTTCATCCTCATAAGCTCCGCGAGTGTCTCAACCCCCGAGCTCGTCTTCTGGAAGGCCAACACTTCGTCGTACAGCTCCCTCTTCAGCTTGATCATCAGTGCATCATCTGATTTCTTCTGCGAGAAATCGATCTTCTCGTACTCACAGACCTCGGCGGGAGAGCTGATGGCGGGGATTTCCTGGAAGCTCGTCAGCGGATTCGGCTGTATGATGAGGTGCTTCCAGTGCTGGGCGATCCGAGTGGCCCAAGAGAAGTCGGCTTTGCTGCGCAGGTCGACGGAGGGGCTCATATAGTAGAGGAGGAAGGTGGCGTACATGGCGAAGGCAAACTGAAGGAAGGTGAGCGTAGCAACAAGGCGAGAAGATGCAATCTTAGGAGCCCTCATTTTGGTGGAAGATTTGCCAACGACATAGTCGCTGAGCATCCCTTCCAAGAAGTCGCCACTTCTCACGGTTGGAGCACGGACGAAGCCCATCACACAAACTCGAGAGCAGTGGGAGAGAGATCTGCCAGGAAGGCTCCGTTTAGTCAACCATGGGTTGGCAATATCGAAATGCGTAGAATTAGTAACTATTAATTAGCGTATATGAATTCTTGGTCAAAAGATGGGTACACCTATACATACGTGTGCATACATTTATACTTCACGATAACGGAATTATTATGTGCATAATGAGCGAGCATGCTACACTCGTAAATCCATGCTCGGTCTTTTCCTTTATAAGAGCATGTTTAAGGTTATTACGGTCAAACCAACCATTTTAATATTCCCTCGATATTTCCAATAAATACTATAAAATTTCGGAAAATATTAAGCACCTTTTGGGCAATAAACCATGCGAAAAATGAAACGTTACGTAGAGAAACATTCCAAGTCACGAAGAAAGAAATCAAAACGTCAATAGTGCTTTTGACGCAGAATCCACATAAGGAGAGAAATCAATGACGAATTAGTACAAAATCTGCTAGTTAATTTCCATCTGAAGAAATGAACAATGATGACTAAAAAAAGAAGATATTTGATTTTCTAATAAAAAAATATTTAATAAAAGATTTTAGGAGAGAAATCAATAAACCAGGAAAACGCCTGAAAGAGAAACTTTACAGAGATACAGGATTAGCAATGAGCTCAAGAGGTTGTGGGGAAGAGTCAGACGTTTCTTTGGATAGATTAGGAGCATGCAAGTCAACCATTGGTGTTTATTTGGATCTCTCGCTTCTCAAGATTCTTGTATCAAACAACTAGAATCCAGAATCATACATGACGAAAAGAAAACTGGAGGGGGGAAGAAGAGTAAATAAACATACAATGGAGAACGCTCCCGCAAAAGAACCTCACTGAGACTACGGTGGATGCCTCCAGAATGGGGACGAACTTGACTTGAGAAAGCTTGTCCAAAAACCCAGAGACTAAACCTGAGGAGCACAAGATTCTGTGAGCCAGAGGGAAAGGTTATATATAGGCCTGAGATGATATGTGCTCACGCACATGGACGCGGTGGTGGTTTCTTCTTCTTCCTTTTCCCCTTGAGAGAATAATATAAGGAACTATAAGTTCCAAGGATACTGACACCAGAGGTGGTTCACATGACTTGAACAGAGAGGCCTGAGGCGTTACCGTCACTTCTCATACATTTGCCCACCCCCGACACCATTAAAAAGCCGGTTTTGGAGCCGCGGAGTAGGGGATGCCCAACCATTGACAAATTGCCACCCCTCTCCCTCTGTTTACTCTTACAGCTCTCATGCATTGAATGATGCCCTCTCTCTCTCTCTCTCTCTCTCTCTCTCTCT